ACACACACACACACACACACACACACAGGAAAGGGCATTAAATTCTACAAACACACAGGCACACACATATAAGTGTGTGTCTGTGTGTGTGTGACGGACAGCTAATGATGATGAATGCAGGGTCACTTGATCACCATGGAAACAGCTTTAACACTGAGGTTAGTGTGAACTGTCCTCAGTAATCCGGACTAACAGAGTGATCTCTCCTTCAAGCTGTGTGTTTCCTGTGTGTGTGTGTGTGTGTGTGTGTGTGTGTGTGTGTGTGTGTGTGAACTCCTGGCTCGTGCACATGCCTGTCACTGGGTTTGCGTGTTTCCGACCTCAACGTGTTTCGTGGCGTCCGTGCTGGGATGACTGACGGCAGCTGCCGCACATACCGACACTTTAAAGTTTAATCTTTGGCGTCGCTATGGCACCAAACCCAAACACCGTCCTTCTGTAGGGTCAGAAGCAGGTGTCACTCTCAGAAAATGTCTCTGTACTTTCTCACCTGCTCACATGTTTGACGAGGACACAGAGGAAGTAGCTTTGCTTTCTGAAACCGACTGAATGGGACAGCGGCTTCTCTCAGCCCGCCATCTTTAGCCTCCACCTCAAAAACACAGAGCAAACTGACCTCCTACTGCTTCAAAGCTCAACAGGAAACTTCCTGGGAGCTGTTCACATACTTGTGAGCACACTTTGAACAGGTGTATCAAACAAAACTACAGTACAATCAACCAATCACAGGCTTCAGTGAGACTATCAGCAAACTTCTCTTTCATTCAGCACCAAATCACAGCAGCAGTCGCCTCCAGGTGCTTTATATTGTAGGGTAAAGACTCTATGATCATACAGAGAAACCCAACAATCATATGACCCCCTATGAGCAAGCACTTGGTGACAGCGGGAAGGAAGAAACCACCAGCAGAATACATCTGCACGTTTGACCACACATTCGATTTCTGTTCTTCATACTTAGTAGTTTAGTATCGCATGTCCTTCAGCCGGGCATGTGGCGGCTTCAGCGCCTACAGAGAGGGTTGGGTCGCGGGCCCTTTTTATAACTGTAACTTTGTCGCAGGTATATTTGTGTATCGAGGTAGCACCAAGTGTTCACAAGGCACCGCTGTTTGAACACACACAGGGAGATCAGCTCTGCCTCGGTGTTACCGTGTGTGCTTCGCCAGAACATGGTCCAGGTTTGCGACACAGGGGACCTGTGTTGACCTGTGTGATGTCATGAGTGCACAACCCGTCACACGTAAGCCCGACTCAGACGTCGCAGTCAGCCCCCCGAAACAGTCGGGATTATTTCCAGTTATTAGCGTTTCTGTGGTCAACAGTCACTCGGCTGCACGCTGAGCACAAGGCAGCGTGGGTAATTGAATAAAACCATTACAGATGAATTATTAAAGATGTGGTTTTCATTATGGAGCTAACAGCATGTCAGCTCACATCAGAGCAGCTGGAGGCTGAAAGCACACTAGAGAAATTCTCTTTCAACTACTGCAAGGTTGTTCATTAAACGAGGGGGTGAATAGAAGTGTCGGATAATTTCCATCAGCATCCTGCTTCTGGTCCGAATCTGGAGGATCCAGATTAGGCCTGATATATATAAAAATCTTATCCTGGTTCCTCTAAACTGGACAGCTAATCCAGGATCAGGACAGCCTAACGATCCCAAACCTGCTTTACGAGTCATTATTGAAACACACACACACTGAACTGTTGACCTGAAGCAGCACAGCAGAGTTTTTAAATGTTCACCCTAAAGGGAAAACTGATTCTGTCTCTTTGCTTTGATTGTTTGAACCCATCAAATCTAAAATGGGTAAAAGATGTGAAAGTGTGAGCTTAGAAAGAAAAACTTTGGCCTCCACCGATGAGAAATGTGGGATGATTTTCAGAGTCTGATCGAAAAGCTGTGAACTGGAAACTAAACAACATCCTCACAACAACGAACAGGAGTGGTAGCATAAAAGGAGAACATCATGGAAGCAGCTTCCTTCTTCAACAGACAAGCGCAGGACTCTTTGCTGGTTCTGACTGGAGCCAGCAGACTGTCCTCCAGATTCATTCACCCTGAGGGCGTTGGATCATGTTAACCTTTGCACCGCTTTTCACCCCCCCGGGTGATAATTAACCCACAGAAGGGGAATGTGAAGGTTCCTGCTTCATTACAGATCGTTCACTGTCCAGCTGAATTTACCGTCAGCCTTTTCTCTGGAGCATCACACGTGTGGTAACGCGGTTCATGTGAACCAAATTCAGCCAAACCAGGACAAATGTGAAAGCTTTGAACAGATACTCGTGTCCAAACTACAGGTTTGATGAAAACTGTGTGTGTGTTAGAAGCTGCGAGTCGGTCTGAGTGGACACACAAAAACAAGTTAAACAGCAGAATCGGTGGATGCAGCTGATGATTATCAGGACTCTGAGCAGCCAACCAGAACGCAGACTGATGGAAAAAACACAGCGACAATAATCACTTATTCTGTGTGTTTGTATAAAACGATTGTGTGTCTGAGCGCGTCCTACCTTCGGCAGTCTCTCCGGGTCTCCGGGGTGGCGGGGGATGACCTTCTGTAACCTCTGGAAGCCGTAATCGATGGTAGGCTCATTCAACGCTGAGGAGGGAGCAGGTCTTTTCATTAGACACCTCACAACATTAATATCGTCACATTTGTTCACTAGTTAAACTTTTTAAAGCCCAAAAACGTGAAACTGTCAGCTGCTCAGACTGCCGTGGATAAGACGTGAGACACTCCTCTCGCATTACTCGCAGATTACACGTGAGCATTTTAGATTATTTCTGGATTAAACATGTAAGTCGTGCACAGAGAGAACAAAGGAAAAAATAAATGTCAATGAAAATACTCCAGAAAGTTTACGGGCCGATTGGATTAGAACGTCTGTACTGACCGACGGGAGGAAACACACGGAGGCGTCGTTGTCACGCTGACGGGAAACCACACACTTCAGTTTGAACCGATAATTTATGCTGCTCTTTGTCAGGTGTAATAACTGCAGCCGTGCACATCGCGGCGAATCTGCAACCCTCAGACACGCCGAATCCATCAGACTTGTTCATTTTTTGTTTTCCCCTCCCCTCCTCTCTCCTCTAACATCATTTACAGTTTAAACTGGTTGGGAGGTGATAAATCAGAGCGTCAGTGAACGCAGCCGAGCACAGCCAGGACTCAGAGTGTGTGTGTGTGAAGTGCATGAATCATAATCCCGTCTTGGTTCAGCTGCATTTAACAAGCTTTAGACCGACTCTCCTATACATCAAACTGTGTGTGTGTTTGTGTGTGTGTGTGTTCAGTCCTTGAAGGCTCACAGGGCGTGACAGGCAGCAGTTATAAGAGTGTGTTAGCTCTCCAGATGTCTGTGTTATCTATAGTTGTGCGAGTGGCTGTGACCTTGTGTTGTTGACTGTTACACACTTTACTGTCACCTGTGTTTCTTCCACCTGCAGTCGGTCCGATTCCTCCTGGATCAAACCTGAATGCATCCTCGCTGCGTCTTTAAGGACACGTGTCCACATGCAATTTCAAACACACCCAGCAGAGCAGTAACACCTGATCATCAGGTAAAAGATGTCAGAGCAGAGTTACCACGATGAGAAGAGACCACCTGAACCTGGCAGCGTTTTCCTCTTTAGCTGGCGGATCAGCGACTGTTCAGGACGCCACGTTTGGCGTGCAGCGGGGCTGGTGGTGATGCTGTGTGGCTGTTTTTAATGACCTGTTATTGCGTGTTTGTGTTGACGTGACTGTTTTATTCTTATGTGTTGTATTTCATTCGTATGAGGCTTTTACCTTGACAACTATAGGTCACGTGACCATGACTCCACATTCAGCCCAGAGTCCCTGAGACACCTGAGCTGCTAAAAACGCTGATGTCACGAATGAACGATGCTCTTGATTCATGTTTTCTGTCTTTATTCATATCTTCATGTTTCACTGCAGTTTAATAAACTCTGGAACACCTGAACAAACCAGCTGTCACTAAAGTCTTTATCTGATTGGCTAATTGTCTGAAATCAAGCGCTCTAATCAGGCACACCGGCAGACAGTGAAACCATCCAATCGATAAGTTGTGATGGAGCGTCCCCGTGGTAACTGCTGAACTGATCTGCTGTTTATATTGGCTGCCAATAAAGATTTGATGGCTTTGAATTGATCAGACACGACACCGAGCGTGGATCTGTCAGTCCCGGCTATCTGAGGAGACGCTTCGGCTCCGCCCTCAGCGCTGAGTGAGTCGTCAGTAATCGTGCGCAGGCTGGCAGCGTTTTATGCTCCTGTCAGGTGTGTACACCTGTCAAACATCAGCACAGCTTTATTTGTTTTTGGTGCTTCTGTCTGCCTGACAGAGCTCATTCCTTTGGATGAGGAGACGTTCATCTCGATGATAAACTGAACCTGAAGAAATGTTGGCACTGTTGCGGCTCAGCTGCACGAATGACGTGTTTTACTGTGAAACAACAGTCCTGATTTATTTTGTATGTATTCGTTGACTTTAATAAGTGAGTTTTACTGTCAGACAGGCTGCAGTGTCTGCAGAACAGGACGTCGATTCAGATAAGACGAGAAGCTCGGAGCGATCGACACGTGTAGACTGAGGCGCTGCAATTCCCTCACACTCAGGTCTG